CATACAGACTACACACAGATTACACACACCGACACAGGCTACACACACAGAGAGACTATACACAGGCAGACACAGACTGCACACACAGACTACACACACATACACACAGACACACACAGTCATAGACACACACACAGACTACACACACACATACATACAAACTACACACACAGAGAGACTACAGACACAGACTACACACACATACACAGACTACACACAGACACACACAACACCTGGAGCATGGAGGCGTGTGCAGAGGGGCTGTGGAGTTCGGAGCCGGGGTCGGGATGCTCTCCTTGTCCTTCCCTGGGCGGTCTCACCTGTCTCTCACTGGACCCTCTGCTCTGGCCTCACGTAAAGTCAGGGGGCCCCAGCTGGTGGCCCTCTGCCGGCTCCCAGCACTTCCTGTCACCCCAGAGCGCTCGCTGATGGGGCCGGCTTATGCGAAGCCACTGGAATCGAGCTTGGCCTCCATCATCAAAGAAAATGACGCGAGAGGAAAGCTGTGCTGGAAGCAGCGGGCCACAGCGAGCGGATAGGCTCTGAGGAGGGCGCTTTGCTGGGACACGCTTGTCGCTTGTCGAAGTTTGCCTGCTCTCAGAAGGGTGTTGCCTGATGCCATCTGCGTGCCTGGCCTCTCTCGCTCCAGGCAGAGGGCTTTTTTTTTTTAAAAATTTTTTTTTGCGGTACGCGGGCCTCTCACTGTTGTGGCCTCTCCCGTTGCGGAGCATAGGCTCCGGACGTGCAGGCTCAGCGGCCATGGCTCACGGGCCCAGCCGCTCCGCGGCATGTGGGATCTTCCCGGACCGGGGCACGAACCCGTGTCCCCTGCATCGGCAGGCGGACTCTTGACCACTGCGCCACCAGGGAAGCCCCTGTCAGAGGGCTTTTGAAAAGAAGAGCACACAGCTTTAGAAGCCAATACTTTTTAAGTTGCATTGTTGTGAGAGGGGACCCAGAAAGGGGTCCCAAAGGTCACGTCTATTGTGCTCTCTGTATGGGCTTTGCCCTGGTGTCTGGGGAGCAGGCGGGGGCCTGCAGCATCTCAGTGAGATAAGAGATAAGAATGGTGGTGGGGGGCAGAGGAGGAGCCCACATTTCCCTTCCCTTAAGGTCCCAGGAGCCTCTGCTACCTGACAGCTGAAAGCCCTTTGCATATTGAAATTGCAAACCAGGTCTGTGGATGGATGCCCAGTGCAAAATCTGTACATAGGCCTTTACTCTCCAGAGGAATTTAAAACCCTTGCAGCAACTGGGAGCACAACAGTCCTGAAGAAATACTCAGAGCATCTGGGTACAATTACTGTAGTGTGGTTGAGTTTCTTCCCTTTTATTTATTTTTTTTTTTTTAAAGCGATCACAAGAAAGCAGCTCTAATTCAGTTTCTTGAAATTACGTGATGATTTTGACAAAGTTCTGAGTTCTTAAAAAATTGAGTCTCTGTCTCTCCCCACAGGCTGCCACCTTCGTCTGCCTTGTCCTGTTATGATGGTAGGAAAATCCCAATACTTTATTGCAGGCAGCTGAGCTAAGAGCAGTATATTCCATTTTTAATTACCGGTCACACAGTAGCCCTCTATTTTGGAAGGGAGGGAGACGAGTTTATTTTGGGACCCGTGTGTCTGACCGGGAGCACAGAATTCTGTCCACACTTGGGATTTGAGCGAGGTGCCTTTTTCTGTTGGGGAGGGAGGGGTTTCTGTTGCGTCATTTTCTCCCTGCAGAGGCTGAGTTACAACCCTCATACTTGGGGCACTGTTAATGTGTTAATACCACGAAGATAGCAACCCTGAAGGGATGGAAAGAGTGTGTGAAGGCGGTTTAAGGCCATATTGGCTCTTTTGATCTCCATGCTACGCCTCTTAGGCGAAAACACCCCTCAGCAGCCCGCTTGGTCCTGAGTGGAAAAAGCTTTGAGCTTCTGCCACGAGCCCCACGCTACCTGCAGCTGGGGAGACCCAGATGGGGAAGACAGACCTGTCCCTGCCCTCGTGGAGCTTGTAGTCGCATACACGGGACAGGCCTTCACCATGGAAATGCACTGACGACATGTAATTGTCATGATCAATGTCACCCAAGAAGTCTTGTTTTTGTTGGCGGGTGGTGTTTTGGAGCGTTCCTATGCCAACCCCGTAAACAGTGCCCTCGTTGGGCCTTTCGGAGAACATACGGACCCCGTGCAGGTGGCCGTGTTTGCACGCTGTTTTAGTGGAGCCCTGTGTCCACGGAGGTTGTGACACCTGGGGTCACCCAGCTGGCCGGGAGCCAGGCCGGCACCAGCCCGTGGCCTCTTGATTTCTGTTACTTGATTCCTGAAGTCCATCAGCTTCTCCGTCCCGCTTGGAGGCAGCGGCCCACTGAGGCAGCTGGGGGCTTTGGGCCATTTTAAAGCCTTGGGCGACCCCGTGACCTGCGCTCACCCGCCCCTTGGGGCTGCCCTGGCCGTGGAGAAGTGATTTCTTCTTTCTGGCTTGTACGCCGTTTCCTCTTGTCCCACCTTCAGTGGCAATACCACCAGAGCCACCCTCCTCCTTATCGGCTAGGAGACTGTTCTCACTAATTCGTCCCTCATCTCGTCTCTTCTCCAGAAACACCAACTGCCTCTCCTTGGTTCTCACCACCCTCCTCTCTCTCTTGCCCTGGTGTCTGGAGATCCCACACTGAGGACGTGGGGACCAGTTCTACGTCATGGAAGATCTCACCAGCCTCATTGCATCATCGTAGAAAATCCTGGGGGCGGAGCGGGGTGGGAGAGAGCAGAGTATCCAGGTGACAAGGTCAAGGTCGCTGGCCCGTGGTATTCAATGACCAGAGTGTCCAGGTGACAGGTCAAGGTTGCTGGGCCGTGGCGGTCAATGGGTTCAAGCGCCATGTTCCTCGTTTGCACTTTCTGGTCACTTCTCCACCACGCCACATTCCTGGAATCTGGCTTGACGTTCCGGCCTAGCTCAGACCAACAGCCTCGGGGGTCCCTGCTGCCGTCACCTCCTCCAGGTGACCGGAGGTGGGTTCCACGCGGCCGGGCCTCCAGCGGGTGGCCTCCGACAAGACTTTTGGCCCCTGCTTGGGGCCCGTTACCTCCCTGGGGGGTCGTGAAGACGATCGGGCAACAGACAGTCCTCGAGCCCCTGCTGTGGGCCGGGGGAGGGTGCAGCAGGGAGTAAACCAGGCCCTGCCCACAGCGAGCCCTAAGTCCTGGTGGCCCTCGGGCTTCATTAACATCTCGGGGCGGTGGGGTTGGGCTGGATAATTAGTGTCACTCTTGTTTGTTTTGTCACTGCAGCTAGAGGATAGGCCCCCTGAGGACAGCAACCGAGCTGTTCTCCCACCTTTTCCAGCCCCGCTGCCCTCCCTCCCGCCAAACTGTGCAGCGGCTGCCTGCCTGCCCCATGGCCACTTCAGTGCAGCCTGGTGGCCCCCCCAGACCCCTCGTGCCGCTGGGGAAGCCTCCAGCTCCCCCTCACCCAGCCAGCTTGACGCCCTCCTGCCCCAGGCTGGGGAGGACTGTCCACCGCTTCTCCCATCCCTGGTCCTCACATCTGCTCCCACCGTCCCGGGGAGCCACCCGGCCTCCCGGCCCGCCCCCTCCGACACTGCAGGGCCAGGACTTCCTCTTCCAGGTCACTCATCCTGCCTCTTATGCGAGAGCATTTTGAAACGTCGAGGCTGGTCTCTGAACAGGGGCAGAGAGAGAGGCTGAATGGGAGCTGCACGAATCCATCCCACAACCGCTGCCTCCAGCTCTGACATCCAGGGCTGCTGTGCTTGCGGGGCCACCCGGGCACATCTGTCAAACGGGCACACGCGCTCCTCGCCCAGGGGCAGTGAGGGCCGGAGGAGGTGGCGTGTGTCAGGGGCGCCGTCATGCCTTCTTTCTGGTACCCCTGCCCAAACCCCGTCACGGGGACCTGCCTGCCAAGCCACAGGTGCCAGGGGACCAGAGACCGGGGCTGTGCACCTCACGAAAGGGTTGGGGCTCGGTGAGCACGGGCAGGAGGTGCCGTCACCTTTCAGGGGCCCCTTTCATCCGCCAACCCCAAGGCCATCTTTACAGACTGGCGGCTGCGGCCTGATGGAGTAAGTTCCCTTACTTGGACTCGGTGGCCCCGGCACAGCAGGCCTGGGTCTCTGCAGACGAGGGCCCTTCCTGCAGCCCACCGACCATGGCGGGTTCTGCCTCTCCCTTCCCGCCCGCACTGAGGCCCTCGCGGAGACACAGCAGGTGACACAAGAGGAATGCAGCCCAGCTGGGCCGGCACACTGGCGTTTCTGGGAGGAGGTCGGGGGGGCAGAACAGGGGCAGAGGCACCGGAGCAGCGCCTGGACCTTCCTTGGAAACCGCTGTGCTGCTCCTCTGCGTCCGGAGGCCCTCGGCGGCCCTGGGGGGGCAGCCTGGCTGTGGGCCGAGGCCCAGCTCGGTGCAGGACGGAAGCCCCAGACCGCATCCTGAACTTGCCTATCTGTCCGTCTGTCCACTCGCCAGGCCCAGCCGCTAGTTGTTTGCCTCTCAGATCTCCGCTAACAGAGCCCGGCGGGGGAGTGTGGAAGTTTCGCTGTCCTCTTGTCTCCTTCCCCGTACAGGCCTGGGGGTGGGCGCAGGGAGAGAGGACACTCCATCCCGTCGGTCATTCCCTAGCCTCCCCTCTAAGAGCAGGGTCCTCCCTCCAGGTGTCTCTCGAGAACTCTGTAAGAGCCCCTGGGGTCCCCTGTCCCCTGGCAGAGCTGCGGCTCAGCAGGCCCCTTTGTGGCCCCTGCTTTCTGCCCAGAGGAGCACCCAGCCCTGGGCAGCAGGCTGGCCTGGAGCACGTTGTGGGATTGTCCTGGGGCCCCCCGGTTCCCTGGGTTTTGGGTGAGAGTCGGTGATGCTGTGCTGTGGTCCTTCAGGAGGAGCGACCCGGTGAATCCGTACCACGTGGGTTCTGGCTGCATCTTCGCGCCAGCCACCAGCGCCAACGACAGCGAGATATCCAGTGATGCGCTGACCGACGATTCCATGTCCATGACGGACAGTAGCGTGTAAGTATATTCTGGTTTCCCCACCACGTACGCGGCTGGCGGTGTGACCCGCCAGGCCATGGGGCAGGGTCCTCACCCGGCTTTGCCAATCCCACCTGTGTCCGCGTGGACGTTTGTTGGATGGGAGGGGAGTATGCCCCAGGGGTGGGCCTGGTCTGGCTCAGGAGGCTCCCGTGGTCGCCTGGGTGGAGTGAAGCTTAGAGCCTTGGAAGGGGGTTGAATGGTACCTTCACAGAAGAAAGCCAAACTAAGGTAGGAGGTTAAGGTGAATATCCACAGATTCCCTGAGTTTAAAAGACCCTCTTCCAGTTATCATTTCACCTGCCTTCCCGGTGGGCAGAAGAGGGTCTTGAATCCAGGTGTCCCTCTGCAGAGCCAGCAGGTGGGGAGGTGGGGTGGCCTGGGAAGGTTATGTGTCTGGGGGCTCAGTGAAGGTGGGGTCAGAAAGCCAGGGTTCCCTCCAGGACACTGCGTGCCAGGCTCGCTCACGGATGTGCTCAAGCGGCCGTCGCTCAGCTCATCAGGTGTCGGCGGGCGTCTTCCCTCTGCAGCTGGGGCTCTGCCCCTAACTGGGGGTTTTCTCCAAAGCAGTTTCTGACCTCAGCTCTTTTGCAGATGGACGGCTGGCATTTCTGGATGCAATCCAAGCCATCAGGGTGGTCTGATGTGGTCAGCAGGCCATGGGGCAGGGTCATGCTTTGAGTTGGAGGTCATTTGAGGTCACGCAGTGGTGACCTCTGTGGATGGAGAACAGTGATCCTCTGTGAGTCTCAGGTGGGTGGGAGTGGAGTGGGGAGGTGGACCAGGCGTCCCCGTCTCCTGCCAACTTTGAAGATTCTGATTCAGGAGGCTCGGAGGAGGTAGGGCCTGGGCTTGGGCGAGACTCCCCAGGGCACGTCTCCCAGCATCCAGTTGAGAACCACCGTTCTAAAAGTGGTCTTTGGAGGCTTTTCTACAAACATTTTGGAGGAGGATCTTCTGCTAGGGGAACCGTTTTGCAAGGCAGGCCCGTGGAGCCATTGTAAGTTCTGGCACGCTTGTGTCGAGTTTGTTCCTTCTAGCTTGCTTCCCAAAACGGGACCGGCTCTTCTTCCAGTTTGTTTGAAATGATCTGGTTTCCATTGGCCAGTGATCTGTTGCTTGGCCTGCGGTGTGGAACCAGTTGAAAGGAAAGTTGACGGGTTGGTTTGGGACTTGACTGTTGATTTTCCTGGTGGCTTTTATTGTGTTACCTCAGATTCCCCTGTTAGTAAAAGGAGGGAGATGTTTAAGGTGAAAAGTTCCAGTTTAATAAGAGAATAGCCCTTTGGCAGGAGTGAAAATGGAGGGAGGGAACACACTTTTCATCCAAAGTGAAGGAATGAGGGCTTCCACAGAGGTCAGTTTTCCATATCGACTGAACTCTAAGTTACTGTACTTGAAAAATATTATCCTTTGGCGGACGTATTCCTTAAAGCAACGTGCTTTTGCTCTGTGTTTATCCAATAGTATCAGGCGGACGTATTCCTTAAAGCAACGTGCTTTCGCTCGTGTTTATCCAATAGTATCAGGCGGACGTATTCCTTAAAGCAACGTGCTTTTCGCTCGTGTTTATCCAATAGTATCAGGCAAGGCATAATTTGTTTCTTGATTCAAATAATTAATCCCAAGGTCTGTTTTCATTCTCCGTTGTAATATCATCTCACAGAATTCAAAATTGTGTAAGGCTTTCTGCCCCTGGAGATATTGGTGCCTCACCCCCTTTTTACGGCGGTTTTCCTTTCTTCTCTCTGCCCTTCTGCCTGCTGTCGTTTTTTCGCTCGTGCGCTTGTCTCCAGCAGCACCATTCCTCTAGCTTTGAACTAGTGTCTGGATGATGAGGTAGTCAGCGTCACGTGTAAAATAAGAATGAGCTGGACTTGAACGAGGGCATCGCGCGACCCTCCTTCACCAGATGTAGTTTCCTTTAGGCGAGGAGGCTTCTGTTGAGTTTTCTGCGAGGTTATTTTTGGCTGGCCTCCGACTCCCCGTCACGGACGTGCGATTCTGGGTTCAGGATGAGATAACTCGGGTGTAGTCCCCATACCCGGGTGAGCCCCGCAGGACCCAGTCGGAAAGGTTGGCCGACGCTTGTGACTTTTACAGAGGAGGGAGGAACGCCCAGCGCTCCCGCAACTACTCCCGTCACAGACAGAGCTCAGATCCGGGCCAGACAGGCCCCTGCCCTTGGCCTGCTCCCTCCGGCCCCACGTGAACGTGAGGCCCCGTAGTTGATAATGAGACCTTTGAGCTACCTTGAGTCTCTTTTGTTTTTATTTATTAGTGACCACACAGCTTTCTTTTTTAAGGGGGAGGGGGAGGGAGGAGTAAGTAATGCTTTCTCCCCTCTTTTTTTTAACCCCCTTTTATGCCCAGAAGAAAAACCCCCAGTTCTATCGAGCGATGACTTTAGAGCCCTTGCCCGCCCTTCCCGCCTTTAGCTAGAGCGATCGTGGGCTTAAGGCCCTCACCACCCGGGGAAGCCGCGTTCCGGGATCAGAGAAGCTAGCTGTCCTGGGCGGCAAGGGTCAGCGTGTGGGCCAGGAGGGTCCGTGTTGGTAATCGAGACAGAGGGCAAATCCCTCGTTCGGCAGCTTTTTCTCCGGGGCACAGCAGGTGCCCCCGGGTCCCAGGTGGCAGAACCTCAGGGCGTGGCCAGCCCTTCCCTCGGCGCAGCTGCCTCGGGCTGGGGATGAGAAAACCAGGACCCCAAGGGGCAAGGGAGGGTCCCTGGGGACCTGGGGCTTGTGTGCTGGAGCCCGTCTTCTGACGTCAGCGCTGGGGGGCCTCTGGTCCTCCTCCCAGCCTCTAGGGCAGCTTATTGGATGCAGCCGGCGCAGCCACACCCCACGTGGGCATGTTGGTGCCACCGGGCCCACGTTTCCCATCAGCGTGGGAAAGGGGTCTCGGCACAAGAGCCATTCCGATGGTGCGCAAGCGGGCCCGCAGGCTTGGCAGGCACTGAAAGCCGGGCCGGGCGAGGTGCTTTCTGGCTGGCTGGCCCGTCGGGCAGGTCCCCCGGGGTCCTGGGCCGGGATTAGAGCCCTCTTCGGCCGGGCCAGTTTGGGGCCCGGCACAGAGCAGAGCCCGAGCGAGCGATGGAGTGCGAGGGGGACGCGGAGCTGAACCGAGTCGGGGAAGCTTAGCAGGACGAGAGGGCAGCAGGCCCCTTTGAAACCTCCTGGCGCTAGTGAATAGGAGCGCCCCGTAAGGCATGAAAGGAGCCCTGGCCGTTTCTCGTGGGCACAGAGGCCGGGGGGCGGGGCTGGCTGCCCTGCTGGGGGCTGGGGAAGGGGCACAGCTGGGTGGGGGGCGGGAGGCGCGGGGGTCACGGGACGCCTTCAGTAGACTCCAGAAGGTGGAGTTCATCGGACACAAGCAGTCGTCTCACTTGCCAGGGAAGCAGTGAAGTCCCAGGGCCTTTGCACGAGGCCCGGGAGAAGCTGGGCCGAGGGGCCTTGTCCTTGGCGAGTCCAGGGCCTGCTGCCGACTTCTGGTTCCCCGCCATGCAGAAAGCCCCGTCTCAGATGGCTGGGGAGTTGAGTCTTCGTACAAGGCCTCTGAGCAGGCCCTCTCACGAGCCCGTTGCTCTGAAACCTACATTGTCAGAAGAAACGGCTTTTTTAGTTTTTGTTGTTTGGAAAGTTAGACTCCCAGCCAAGTCCTCAACCCCAGCCCTTGGGCAAAAGGACTGCGGGGGGCTGTAGGAGGATTGCAGTGGCGGGAGCGGGGGGCACGCTAGAAACATCAGAAGGAGCAGGTTCCTGGCGCCCAGGTGTGGCCTCCGTTAGGAAGTGAAAGCTAGGAGGACAGCATGGAGGTGGCAGACACCTCTCTCTGCGCAGAGCTGCTCCTGAAATCGGCATCTGCGCGATCGGAGGGTGCTTCTGCTCAGGGTGTCACAAAATCAGCCCGAGACCTTCTTGTTGCCTTTCACACAGAGGGTGGCCCAGGTTATTTTATAATATTTATTTTTATTTCCTTATATCTTACTTATGGGTTCACTTTGGACCCCGGGGAAAGCATCTGAGTGAACTTCAAATAGTGCCTTATCTTACAAACCGGCCTTTTGATGTTGGCTGTGACCAGAGGCCGCCTTCGGAGTGGTGGCCAAACGAAAATGCGAGTGGACGCGTGTGCACGTGAGCCCGCTATTTCAAAGCCACCGGAAAGCGACATTCAGGTTAGGCCGCGCACGGCCGAGTCAAAAGGCTAAACTAATTGGCTCAGCTTAAATGGCAACTAAGTGGAGTCCACACTTCGAAACCAGCGCTCCCCAGAAACAGCTGGGCCCAGCAGCGGGCGCGTTAACTAAAATGTTTATAATTAAAGGAGGCCGTCCGGGGACCGAGACGCAGACACGGGTCAGCTCATGGTCCTGAGAAGCCAGGAAACTGATCACAGGCTTTCAGAGCCTGGATACAAAGAAGAGAGGCCCCTTTCTGGAATGAGGGGCTGTGTTGGAAGAAGATTCTTGGCTGGGGGGTCGGGGTGGGGGTGGGATTAAAGGCACACTTCCTTGAAGGTGCCTGTTGAGCCTCTGAGCCTTTGCGAGTCGGTCTCCCTTTTCTGTGCTGGTCTCACGTTTCCTTGCCTACAGCTGGACCCTTGACCTGCCCTGGCTGTGGTGGGCACGTTCTTGGTTGGAGGAGTGGTTTAAAAACGCATTTGTTCCTCTTGCCTTCAAGTGGCCAGGGACCTGCTCCCTCTGCCTCCCCCAGTTCACTTTTCTTTCTCCTGCTTTATACAGAGAAGGAGAGAGAGGTGTGAAAGCCTTACTGCTCGTTTCATCTTGGGAGGCAAGGGGGAGGAGCAAAGGCTTCTGGGGGACACTCAAGGTCAGAGTCTTGGAGGGGACAGGCGGGGGCCTCCTGGGACTCGTGCAGCCCCGTGTGTGTCACGGTGGGATCCACGGGGTGCTTGACTCCCACCCCCAGGATTGCCTGGAAGAGGCCTGGAGCAGAGCCATCCTCTTATTACGGCCCTGGAAGAGTTGCTGGTTGGAACGTGGACCTTGTCTTGCAGCCCTGGGGCAGCAGAAGTTGTTGCTCAGACCATCGTGAGACCCAGTCTGTTGGTCCCCTGCCGTTACCCACACCCCACAAGGGATGTTAGGTGGGAGATGGGGGGCCGGCATGCCCCATAGCCAGCGAGCACTAAGTGGTCAGCAGGACTTTCAGGATGTTCCCCAAACCCCCCATTCACCCCTTCAGAATGCCAGGTGACCCCGTAGGGCGTAGGAAGTGGTGTCCCCCGCATTCAGACCATTGGGAAGCTTGGCTTCTCCAGCTGGGCCTGGACTGTACATGTTTGAGTTAAGGATGCCTGTTCTGGAGTCCACCAGTGGCTTGGATTAGAAGCCTGGATCTGACCTACCGGCTGATTCCAGGAGAGCTTTGGAGCATCTCTGCTCATCCATAAACTGTGGCGATTTAGGGGTTTTGTGAGGGTGCAGTTGGATTATACATCACTCAGTCCATGGGGGGCCGGCAGCCTTGGGTTGGAGTCGGCGGGCCTGACCCTTAGTTGCTGGTCGAGCCAGGCCTGCTTGCGACCAGCCCACGTCTTGTGAGTGATCCTGGGGTGAGAAGTTGTAACGAAGCTCCACGTGGTTCAGGAAGATTTTAGACTTAGAACCTTTTCTCCTACTTGACCTTCATGGGCCCAGTTCCGTCCCAGGCCTTAGTGAGTAGGAGGCTGCCTAGGAGACTTGACCTCACTGGTCAACGGGCTGACCATTTCCACAGCGCTTGCTGTCTGACCCCCCTCAGCCTTTCCCTGGGACACAGGACTCACACGCGCGCGTCAGTCCTTGCCTTACGTTGACCTGTCTTCCCCGCCTGTACCCTCGGTACGGTCGGACTTTATAAAGTGCTTCTTTTCCAAGGTTTGGCTCGTAGGTCAGTTCATCTGTATCTGTACTGCATCCTTGAGGCGGCAGCCCTTTTCTCCCGCCCAGGTCAGCAGCCTTCCGGAATCCGCGGCCATGCAGAGGAGCCGGAGGTCGACCAGTTGGCCCAGGCCTCTCCTGGCATTTTTTAGGCACAGCTGATTGTCACCCACTGCTGGTCAGCCAGCACCCGTTGATGAACAAAACACCAGGGAAAGGGAAATAGCCAAGCAGCTAATTTCAACACTTACAGCCTCGAAGGATGATTCAGTGCGGAAATGCGTGAACCCTGAGGCTTTTGTCAATAAGTGGCTTCTGGAAGGAACAACAATGGGAAGATAATCACACCTTGACCGTCCGACTGCTTTCAAGAACAAAAGTTTAAAACAAAATCATAGCAAGTCCGGGTCCTGTTTTTAGTGCAGACTAGCTGGAGTGGAGGTGGTGGTGGTAGAGTTGTTTTTAAACTTCTTCCATTTGCTTTTTAAAAATATAGTGAAGAAGAACGTTAAGGGGCCCTTCTGGCCTCTGGTCTTTGCTCAGAATCACCTCCGTGGAGAGGATTTCAGTGACCACCGCCTCCTGTTCAAAATGCAGCTCCACGCCCCAGCCGTCCTCACTCCCCATTTCCCGCAGTGTGTTTCGTCACAGTGCTTTTACCACCTTCGAACTTACCATAGATGTTGCTTTTTAATTTTTGCCTATTACCTGTTCCGCTCCGTTAGAACACAAGCTTCCTCAGGGCAGTCGTCTGCATTTTTATCCCCTTCCTTCGCTGCTCTCTTGCCCGGAGCCTAGAACAAGGTCTGGCACATAGTAGGTACTCAGATATTTGGATGAATTGCACAGAGTACCGTGGAGTAGGGGCTTTCTCTTTATGCCCACGTTGGTCACGGATCTGAGAATCCATTGGTTGGGGGCAGTAGGGTTTGGAGCTGAGGGAAGGAAGGAGCCCAGAGATGCCTGCCGGTGGCTGATAAAAAGGAGACATTCGGGAACGCCTGGGAGGTTGACTGCTGGAGGGTAACGCACACCCTCCACCGGCGCCTGGCTTAGTCTTCTGTGGGTCTGGTCCCTGGTTGCCGTGGTAACAGACCGTCGGAGGGACCAAAGGGGTCTTAGTCTTCTGCTTGGGGCACCTGTAAAATAGGGGGACCTTCACTCTGCGGTGGGTGCAGTTCTGAGACACGAGCTCTTCCCAGGTTGATACTCCTGCATCCGAGCGGGAGCCGTTTGCAGAGAGGCTTGAGGGGCAGGACATGTGGCGGTTGGGCCTTGGACTGACTTTCCCTGCAAGGACGGCCACAGCGCCCGGGGACTGGGGGCGCTCCCAGCTCCAGGAGGTGCGCGGCCCCGTCTGTCGGCGGGGTCTCAGGCGGGCGCGCGTGAGTCGGCCCGTGCGCTAAGGCCTCCTCGTGAGCCGGTGGGTTCTGCCCTTTCCTTTCCCTTAGAGATGGAATCCCTCCTTACCTCGGGGGGAGTAAGAAACAGCTCCAGAGAGAAATGCATCGCAGCGTGAAGGCCAACGGCCAGGTGTGCCTACCTCATTTCCCGGTGAGTACGGTCGGTCGGTCGGCAGCTCTTTTCTGGGAGGAAGAGTGAGGGGTTGGGGGCCGGTGCGCCTGGGACCTGGGGGGGAGGGAGGGCAGGGGAGGGCCACGCAAGGGGCGATCTGCGGTTCACTGGGGTGTAACCCAGAGCAGGGGCGCCCACGATGCCCTAGTCGGCCTTTTCCATTTCCTTGATTCAAAAAAGAAAACTCCATGAGAAAGAAGCGAAGCAGTGAAGGGTGGGAGGGTGGGAGGAACCGGAGCTTTGCGTTGGGCTATCCCGTTAAGTCCATCCCACCACAGAGGCGAGAACAGTGCCTCACTGAACACTTGCTGGTCGACTGAATGAAGGAAAGAGAGAGAGGATGAGGCTGGAGGGATCTGCCTCCTGAGTGAGGGTCGCATCCTGGGATGTTCTCCTTGTGTTGCCCGCGTGGCTGTGTCGTTTCAGTCACCATTCGTCTCTGTGCTCGGCCATTTCTCCTCCAAAGCCCTGGAGGTCGGCTGTCCCTCTTCTTGTCTGTTTCCAACCCCAGCACGTGGCTTAGTGCCTGCTTGTTGAATCTACTCCCAATAAGTGTCTGAGCATCCCGTGAACAGCTCCTTTCTGCGATTGAGATGAGAGGCCAGTGTGGTGTGGAGGGCTTTTCTGGGTCCTCCCCTACGATTTCCAAGTCCCGGGGGGCAGCCAGCCCGTGGCCCCCGCACATAGAGAGCTGCCCCATCTGCGTCTCAGGAGCTGTGCTTCTTGTGGTACCCGGAGGTCCAGCTGCTCCTTAGGGAGGGGAAGAGAGTGGCCAGCTTAGAGCAGCGTCTCTGCTTAGAGTCCTTCCTGCCAGCTTCAGAGGATCCGATTTGTCCGTCGGTGCTGTCACACGTCGGAAGTGGACACGTCGAGTTGCTAATCCCATGTTGCGTTAGTGTGTGGACTGTTGCCACTTCTCTCTGAAGCCCCTCAGACAGTCCAGGGAAGACTTAAATTTGTAAAATTAGCCTACTAAGTTTGCTTTTCTGGGGACCTCCAGCATCCCCCCCTCAATAACATCCCCCCCACCCGTACAGCACTATCGATGATGTATTCATATATGTGTGTGTATGTATATATATATATATATATATATTTCTGACTTGGTGGGGGCACTGGGGAGAGGTATGTGTGTTCAAGGAAAGCTGTACGGCCCCCCAGGATTGTGAATTAGGTGATTCTGTCCTGGGGTGTGCGATTGTTTTCTCATCTGCGGCTCGGGTGGGGAGATGCTAGCCTCTGCAGGCTGGCTCTCTGCTGCCCCCAGCCCGCCCCCTCCCAAAGAAAAGGGCCAAAGCAGGAGGCAAACGAGGGGTAGGGGGCAGAACCATGAGGGGCGGGGGCTGCGGGTACCAGACGACGGCAGGGGGACAGAAAGCCGGCCGCGGGGGTCCTCTCTGTTGGCGGCGGCGGCCGGCGTGCTCGTGCCTGTTTGTATCCCATACCCGGTTTGGAGATGCGCCCTTTCCCTCGGTAGATGCGCTTCAGGCAGCCGAGTGCAGCAGAGTTCTGCTATAGCCGGCAGCAGCTTGCTTCATTTTCTGTGCAAAGAGGCGGGAGGAGGGGCGGGGAGCACGAGGGCATCCAGGGCGGCGGTAGACAGCTCCGCCTCAAACGTGCACAGTGTGCGGCCAGGAGAGACGTTACCGCTGTGTCTCATCTGGGCCCTGTGACTCCTCTTTTCTCCCCCCTCCCCCTTTTTTCCCTTTTTCCTCCCCCCGCCCACTGCCCTTCCAATCTTATATTTTACATTTCCAGCTCCCTTTCTGTTTAGGCTCTACTTTTTATTCCTTGAGGTGGGCTCTCTCCCCTCCCCATCGCAGAGAGCTGCCTTTTTTTTTTTTGATGTTTGACAACAGTCTTTGAAGATTTTCTAGTTCAGAGTAGCGTCTGATGGGCTGGTTGTACTCCAGAGGGAGGGCAAACGGGGCCCCTCGCAGTGCGACCAACTGCTCCTGCCTGCGGCACGCGCTGCCAGGACCATGGCTCTCCATGAGGCCGAGGCCGCGGCGCATAAAGCGGCCGAGCAGCTCGGGCCCCGCGCCGCCCGCTCTCCGCGCAGCCATGGACGCGCCGTCCCCAGGCCCGGGCAGCCCCCTGACAGCGTCCGCCCCGTGTCCTCCCCGCGCCCCGCAGAGAACCCACCGCCTGCCCAAGGAGATGACCCCCGTGGAGCCCGCTGCCTTCGCGGCCGAACTCATCTCCCGGCTGGAGAAGCTGAAGCTGGAGCTGGAGACGCGGCACAGCCTGGAGGAGCGCCTGCAGCAGATCCGAGAGGTGGGCGCCGCCCCGCCCCCTGCCCGAGGTTGGGGGGGGGGCCTCCTGCTGACCCCGGCGCCCCCCGACCGCTACCTTGCCTTCCAGGACGAGGAGAAGGAGGGCTCCGAGCTGGCGCTGAGCGCCCGGGAGGCGGGGCCCACCCAGCACCCCCTCTCCCTCTTGCCATCGGGCAGCTACGAGGAGGACCCGCAGACCATCCTGGACGACCACCTGTCCAGGGTCCTCAAGACCCCCGGCTGCCAGTCCCCGGGCGTGGGCCGCTACAGCCCCCGCGCACGCTCCCCGGACCAGCATCGCCGCCACCACCTCCTGCAGCACCGCGCGCCCCCGCCCCCCGGGGGCCCGCTGCTCCCCGCCACCGCCGCCGCAGCCGGCTGCCCCCTCCTCGGGGCCCGGGGCTTCGTGAGCAGGCAGACAACGAAGCACGTCCACCACCACTACATCCACCACCATGCCGGCCCCCGGACCCGGGAGGAGGTGGAGGCCGAGGCCGCCCAGCGCGCGCGCTGCCCCTGCCCCGTCCCCACCCCCGGGGGCTCCGACTACCCCTGCTGCGCCAAGTGCAAGAGCCACCCCGGGGCGCCGGAGCCCGCGGCGGCCGCGCAGGCTGGGTAGGTGTTCCGTGGTCGGAGGGTCGGGGGGCAGAGGCGCTGGGCCGCAGGGAGGGCGGCGGGGCAGGCGGGGGCGTGGGGCTGGGCAGCAGGTGCCCCTTGCCCGCCGGCTTGGAGGGGCCGCGGAGGCAGAGGCGGCCGGGGTCCCCGGGATGGATGCGCTCCTCATTCCCCGCAGCGGCCGCGGCCGAGGCGCCGTCCCACCCCGACGGAGCGGGAGAGGCTCGGAGCCAGGCCCGGCTGGGCCAGCCCGGGAAGGAGGGGCCCCCGGCGGAGCGGGGCCGCTGCAGCCGCCCGGGGAGGAGGGAGACCGGGCACAGGACGTATGGCAGTGGGTGCTGGAGAGCGAGCGTCCGGGCAAGCCCAAGCCGCACAGGTGAACACGGCCGGCTCGCCGCCCGGGGCGGGGTGTGGGTGGGGGGCCCTCTGCGCTGAGCGCGACCACGGCTGGCGGCTCCCGCCCTTCTAGTCGTGAGCGTCCGACTGGGCGGCCCGCAGGAGTGCCGCGCTGGGGCCATGCGCCTAGCCGTGTTACCGTCGCGTTTTCTTTTCTCCCCTTGTCTCTGTGATTTCTCTTGAAGTCATGCTTTCTGGCCCCCTAACCCCGTGTCTCCCCTCGGCTCTCTCTCGCCCTTGCCCGTTCAGTGCCCAAAGCACCAAGCGGGCCTATCCCTTGGAGTGCGCCCGAGCGTCCCCAGCCGGCCGTCACCACCTGTGGGTGGGCAGCAGCGGGCACCCCCGCGCCACCCCCCGTGCCCACCCGTTCACCCAGGACCCTGCGGTGCCTCCCCTGACCCCACCCAACACCCTGGCGCAGCTGGAGGAGGCCTGCCGCCGGCTGGCGGAGGTGTCCAAGCCCCCAAAGCAGCGGTGAGTAGCTGGGGCGGCCGGTGGCGGGTCCCCTTGCCGGCCTGTAGGAACGGCTCCCCTGAGCTAGCCGAAGGGCTACCCGGGACCTGGCGAGGCGTGGGAGGAGGCAGCCCCCACAGCTCCCGTTCCCTTAGGAAGGTCCCGACGGTGAGGTGAGCTTACGAGGAGCCGTGGCCGATGGGGCTTCTAGAGGCTTCAGCCCTCTGCCTGGGCTGCAACGCCCAGTGCTGGGCTCCCCGGGGCTTAGCACAGCTCTGCCAGGTCTCCAGGAGCTGCCGTCAACACAAGGCCTTGGTTGGGTCTCCACGGGGATGGAAGTCGGAGGCCAGGGAGAGCGCTTCTCTGACTGCTTCCCACTGGCCCCGGGGACGGCAGGCTTCCGTCTAAGTCCTTGGTGTCCTCAGGTGCTGCGTGGCCAGTCAGCAGAGGGACAGGCACCACTCGGCCACTGGTCAGCCAGGAGCCACGCCCTTCTCCAGCCCAAGCCTGGCTTCGGAAGAGTGAGTGTCTTTACCTGGTGTTGCTGAGATCCGCCCAGAGGCTTTAGTTTTCAGGGAATTCTCTATCGGGGGCTGTGGTTTTTGAAAACTTTTTTTTAGTCTATAAAATCACCTTCGTTTTCACATTAGCGACAAGGAACAGTAAACCCAGATGTTGCCGTAAATTAGGATCTCGAAAAACCCCATGTGCACCAAGAAACGCATCATGACTTGTACACAAGTGTTCCCTCCTGAAGTGGTGGATGGCTCAGGGTTCCTGGACTCAAGCTCAGACGGGAAGCCTTTAGCTGACGGGTAGAGGGACCCCAAACCCAGATGGAAAAGTTGTCTCCATTAGCTCAGAAAGTTAGCGAGTTGGAAAACCATCTTTGTGTCACACTGAGCGGGAGGGTGCCTCTCCACCATTGCAGGGACGGAGAGGGGACCATCTTTGCTGTTTTGCGAGGGGAGCAGCACATCTTCCCCACTGGTCCCATGATTCCTGTCCTAAACCTACACTCTTGTAAACTGGGCAGGGAAGCCAGGCTTCGTTTCACTCCAGGGTGGTGCGTTGAAAAAGCGTTAGGTTGCAGAGATCTAAAGTGGCCTAAATCATTAAAGTTTTTTTGGTTAGCTTGTTCATTGTGAGCAATGAACAGTGTTCGAACTGAGAAGACCTCCACCCTGTTAATAGCTGGTGGACCTTAAGTTAACCAGCTGTCCGGGCCTGCATCTTTTTTTTTTTTTTTTTTTTTAAGCCACTCCACAAAAACGCAGAAGTTGAGATGACTGAGGGCTGACCCCACCCCCCGCCAGTGGGCTCTGGCTTTCCGGGCTCATGCCACTCCTGGGTGTGTCCCTATGGCCCCTGGGTGGGTTTCTTCTTTCTCATCTTCCTTGGCAAGCACCCCATTGGTGCCCCCCTGATGGACACTGCTCTGTCCTCCCATTGGGTGGAAGGAGACGGTCCCTTCCTGGTTGCCCCACACAGATGACCCGAGGGAGGACCGTGTGTCCACCGGAGATGGCTGCCTCTGTGAATCGGGACCCGCACCCTCGTGGTGTACAGCTGCAGCCCGACTTTATCTCTGAAGACAGCGCCCCCGGGTGTGTACGTGCACGTACGTGCACACGTGCTTGCTGCCTTCAAATGCGGGACTTGTTGCTTTTCCATCTTATTTTCAGTCACAAAGAGCCAAAGAAGCTGGCAGGGGTGCACGCTCTCCAGGCCAGCGAGCTGGTGGTCACCTACTTCTTCTGCGGGGAGGAAATCCCGTACCGGAGGATGCTGAAGGCTCAGAGCCTGACCCTGGGCCACTTTAAAGAGCAGCTCAGCAAAAAGGGAAATTATAGGTAAGCGTCCCATGGCTTCTTTCTGCTCCGGACTTGGTTTGCTCAGAACCAAGAGCCAGGGTTGCTTCCTGGCCGGGCCAGACCTGAAGGGGCCACTGGAGGGGCTGCGCGATGCTTCGCTCTGTCTCACTGACGCTGTCCCCTCACCCCTCCCCGAGATGACACGGCAGCAGCGGCGGCAGGGAGGGCTCTGTGGGCACCTGGGTGGGCTCTTTTTACCAGGTGGACGAGCCTGAGGGTTAGGGTTAGGAGCAAGGGGTCGGCTGGCTTTGCCAGAAGGAGAGCTGGGCTGGGGCCGTCTCGTGGAGGCTCTGCCTGAAAGGGGCGAGGGGTGCGGGGGAAAGCTAGGGAGGGAACAGGCAGACGGAGAGACTGCCTGATGAGAAGGCTGAAAGGCTGCCCTCCTGGCACGTCTGGGAGAGGCCGTCCTCACCGAAGGCTCAGGGACAGGCAGAGGCCACTGCCTGCACTGTGGCGGCGTCCTCTTCCTTCAGCCTCCGTGTCCCAAGTCATGTGGGACAGGGTTGCCTGTAACAGAGGAAGGGCAGGACCTGTGGGTGGGCATGGGGGGGGCGGGGTCAGGGCTGGCCGCTCCTCCTGCTGGGGCCTCGGGATGGGAACCCGTCCTCCCTCCCGGTGTCCTCTCCCCTCTACACGGTCCAGATGCCCACCCTGGCCTGCCAGACCCTGGAGGGGATTCAAGGGCTGGGGGCTGGCCCTGGGCGTCTCTCGGTCACTTTCCCCTTGACGTGGGGCAGGTGATGACCAGAGTCCTACCTGCCCCTTCTCGGCAGCCTTCGTCCCAAGGGAACCCGTGGGTTCCATCCCGCTGTGTCCCGAGTGCCGTGTGCAGGGCTGGGACAGGAGAGGCAGGAGGTTAGAGAGGAGACAGCCCGGGCCCGGAAGGTGCTCCCCTGCTGCTGCCCCGAGCAGGGATGGCACGGAGAGCTCTAACACACTTCACCACCTGCTGGGCGCGTGCCGGCTCTGGACCCCCAGCAAGCCCACCCCCGGGGCCCGTGACCCCAGCCCTTCCAGAGCAGCCACTTCCACCGGGGCCGGTGCGGGGGGAGGGGAGGTGCTGATTTGGGCAGTGGCCCAGAGTGACTCTGTTTGCAGGGAAGGGACATGGCTCAGGGCCGGGACCCTGCAGGTGACCGACAGCGGGGCCCGGAGCTGGGCTGAGATCTTTCCCTTTTACGCCCGGGCAGAGACAGTTCTGGAAATGAACCAGGGGACTGGGGAACGGGCCTGGCTCCTTCTTCCTCTTCTTTTTTTATCTTGAACAGACACAAGGTGAAACTAATTACACAAGTGTGCCCCCCAGGGATTCATTTTGATCTCAGCTTTGGCTCGGCTGGACTTTGGAACCGCAGGTGACCTTCAGGGGAGCAGGGCCGAGGGGCGCTGAGCAGAGGCTGCAGGGACGGCTCCACACGCAGCCACTCGAGCCTCGTCTGGCTCGGAGTGTTTTCTAAGGCACACTCAGCAAGCCTGGCTTTGAAGCCCCAGCCTCCCCTTTAATGCACACAGACTCGCACACATGGGCGACTGGCACATTCCTTGCTGATTGGGTCAGGCTGCGGCCCTTCCCAGCCGCCTTAGGCGGCTCCACCGGCTCCCCGGGCCGGAGCTGGACCCTTTGCCCGCTGGTCGGGAGGGCACCGGGCGCCGCGCCTCGTCCTCCCGGCGGGGTGGCACTGCAACACTCTCCTCACACCCCTCTCCGCCGCCCGCCATCCGGAGCCCAGCGAGGATGGGGGCGGGGAGCGGGGACCTGGGCAGAGCTTCAGAGCAGCCCCTGCAGACGTGCCAGATGGCAGAAGGAAGCAGAGTTTGCCACAAAGCAGGTCGCAGTGGAGGAGAAGCTGAGGGCAGCTCAGTGCCTTTGAAGTCTGGGGGCGCAGGGGAGGGCTGGGGAGGAGGTCGCAGTCAGGGACAAGGTCACTCACTGCGTGTCTCTGCTCAGAGGGGCCGGGAGAGCCCCCATGCTGGGCCCGAGGCCTGCCCGGGGTGGCGTAGGCATTGGAGCCTCTCATTTAGAAAGAACTCCCCCCGCTGCCCAGGGTCTCCTGTGCACGGCGCCCCTCCCCCAGCTCTCATCGGGCCCCCCGGGACTCTGCCCTCCTCGTGCCAGAGGGTCTTCTCCGCTGACCCCCTCGAGCTGGGCGGTCACCCCGATGCCTTAGCCCAGCCGGGAACGCCAGAAACCCAGACCCTTGACTAAATGCAGCTGTTTCACTGGGTTTAGCCTTATCTCCTATGAAAGTACTTGGCTGGCCTTCATTAAAGAGGAAAAAAATTTAGCTCTAACCAAGGGGAATTGAAAAAAACTTTTTAAGGAGAAAAGACAAAAACAGAAAACCACTGTAACCCTGAGACACAATTACTTTTTTTTTTTTGGGAAGCTATTACCCTCCCCCCAGGGGACCGTGACCCTCCCTCCACGAGTGGCCTTTATTGGCTGAAGATGACAGCTTGCAGGGGCGAGTTTAAAGTGTCTGAGGGGTCTCCCTGGCCTGGGACGGGGAGGGATAGGCCTTGGCTTCGTGTCCTGGGAAGGGTCTCGGGTGGGCCTGGCCGAGCGGGACAGCAGTTTTCACACATGACTCTCCTGGGACAGGCTGGTCGTTTGCGTCCTTACAGCTAAACAGGCTTCAAGCAAGAAGCCGGGGTGGGATGGAAGGAGCTTTTTTAATCAGCTGGCAGAATAGGGGCCTTTAGCGTTTGCCCTGGAGGAGGGGAGGGAAGGGGCCGGGCAGAGGGGAGAGCAGCGGGTTCTCGGTGGCTGCAACCCCGGGAAGCAGTGGGCTGCCCGCCTCCTGCGGTGACCACAGGGGAAGCAGCCTGTCCTGGCCCCGCCAGCCCGAGCTGTGCCCGACACCAGCCGGGAGGGCTGGCCCTTGGGCGCTGGAGGGCAGGGAGCCTGAGAGGTGCCAGCCTTCCGCAGGCTCCTACCGGGTCGGGGGGCTGAGTCGGGGGTCTCTTTGAGGGACCCACCCCTCCAGGCACGCCTTGCGCTCTCCCGCCCCTCCCCCCAAAAATGGGGAGAAAGAAGCAGCCGTCCTCTGCAAAGGGTACCTCTCACCGTGTGTGTCGGGTGACGGTGCTGGGCCTCTGCATTGTTGGCAGCTGGGGGTGCCCAGCCGCCGCCGCCTCCGGGGTCCCTGCCTGGCTTTGCCCTCCCACCAGCCGCACGAAGCAGACACCCGGGCGGAGACTTCCCTGCCGCCCGCGGTAGCAGCATTCTCAGACCCCTTCGCCCCCAGCGCTGACAGACTCTCCTCTCAAACCCAGTAGAAAATGCAGCTTTACCAAGCCGCGTGTTGGGTTTTCCTTTTAAGGTATTACTTCAAAAAAGCGAGCAACGAGTTCGCGTGTGGAGCCGTGTTTGAGGAGGTCTGGGACGACGAGGTGGTGCTGCCCACGTACGAGGGCCGGATCCTGGGGAAGGTGGAGAGGATCGACTGAGCCTCGGCGTCTGGCTCGGGCCACCGGCCTCGGACAGGACGGCTCCTGGCTCTTGTAGACGCTGACGGTATTGGAGAGACCACCGTGCATAACCTATGACTTCCTAGGGCTCCAGATCCATCAGCTAGGAGAGACTGTGTGTAGCTCACCTGGACAGGAATCCTTCCTGCTATTTATTGGACAGTCGACTCCCCCGCCCCCAGTTTGTGGATATGCTGCTTTAAACACGGAAGGGGGAGAGAGGAAGTTTTCGTGGTTCTGTTTCACGGAAAGAGGATTTAAGCTGTGCCGTGCGTTTCTCCAAGTGAACGTAGACTCTTAAACAATGGTGTCCTGCCGTTGACACACACAGAAATTGGTGCATCTTTTTTCCCCAGCGCTGCTCTATTTTGTCATAAAGGTCTTGAGGTTTGATTTGGGGGCCCTCCTGTCGGACAGGATGGTTCACTGTGGAGGAGGGGGAGCCTCCCCGGGGCCCCAGGTTCACCCTGTGACTTCCTGGAGCTCCCCATCAGGGCCCAGCACCCGACGGCTGAGGCCTTCTGGAGCCATGTGGTTCGACTCGTGCTTTTCTTGAGATGACAACTCCTTGGGAGTCTTTTAAAAGTAGTCTTTGGACCCCAGCCATTCTGGAAACTACCCCCTCCCCTTGCGCCCTGCCCGGCAAAGAAGCGAACAGTTGTGGGAAGACCTAGCTGCACCTTTCCTCCAGACACCTTCATCGTGACGTTCGGGTTTTTACATTAACTTAATCTGTGCATTCTGTTTGCCATCGTTCCTTGTACCATACGTCTGTATATATTGTACGGAAAAGAGTATTAATCCACTATCTCTAGTGCTTGACCTTGAATCCGTACAGTACCTGTACCTGCACGGTGTCCATGCCGTGTGTCGCCCTATATTGAGGGCTCCAGCTTTCCCTTGTTTTTTGAAAGGGGTTTATGTATAAATATATTTTATGCCTTTTTATTACAAGTCTTGTACTCGGTGACTTTTGCCATGGCATCTTGTTCTACTTGTACTGTAAATTATGCATTATAAAGAGTTCATTTAAGGAAAATTACTTGGTACAATAATTATTGTAATTAAGAGATGTAGCCTTTATTAAAATTTTATATTTTTCAAAATATCGGCCTCGTCTTTGAATCCCCTGGGGTGGAAGTGGGTTAGAGGCACCCTTTTGTACGTGAACATTCTTCGCTTGATTTTTCCCACTTTGCTCAAGCCCATTTCTATCTGACCTGGAGCTCTTCTTACCCTACTGGTGTTTCGAAAAACGATTTCTTGAAAATCACCTGGTTGCTGACCGGCTGAGGATTTTCTCGTCGTGGAACAGGTGTGGACAGCATCTCCTCTCATGTCCTCCCCCCGTCTGCCACCTGGATTCAGCCTCTTCCTCCCAGGCAGATGCCTGCTATCTGGCCAGGTAGGTACAGGTGAGGAGCTGGGATGGGGTCCTCCCAGGAGTACTTGTGTTTTCATAGGTGTCTCGGGGGTGAAAAGCCACTGAAAATGGTGTGCAGGTCGTGAATGCCCAGTGGGGTCAGTGAACCTTGATCTCGGTGCTACTCAGCCATCCTCCCAATGGCTGGGTAGACCAGACGGTTCAGTGAGAAGAGTGCACTGTTCACCAACAGTTTGTTTCGTGTGGCCATTGTTCATCCAACAAACACATGTCCCGTCCCCGTGCTCAGAGCACTCAGGGCTGGGCTGCATTTCAGATCCCGGAGGGCAAGTCAATGTAAAGGAGTCCTATGATGAACCCTTTTTGAAATAAATGTCCAAAGAGGAAAAGGTGGGGGAGCGAGGGATAAATTAGGAGTTTGGGGTTAGCAGATACACACGACTATATATAAGATAGATAAAAAAACAAGGACCTACTGTATGGCACAGGGAACTCTGCTCACTGTCTTGTAATAACCTATAATGTAAAAGAATCTGAAAAAGTATATATGACAATCACTTCGCTGTACATCTGAAACGCAACATTGTAAATCAAGGATACTTCAAAATAAAAAACATTTAATCTTTAAAAAAGTCTACAAATAATAAATGCTGGAGATGGTGTGGAGAAAAGGGAACCCTCCTACACTGTTGGTGGGAATGTAAATTGGTGCAACCATTATGGAGAACAGTATGGAGGTTCCTCAGAAAACTAAGAATAGAGTTGCCATATGATCCAGCAATCCCACTCCTGGGCATATACCTGGACAAAACTATAATTCAGAAAGATACCTGCACCCCAGTGTTCATAGCAGCGTGACTCACAATAGCCAAGACATGGAAACAACCTAAATGTCCGCCGTACAGATGTGCAGATGAACGGATGAAGAAGATGTGGTACAGATCTAGACAGTGGGATACTACCCAGCCATACAAAAGAATGAAATCATGCCATTGCAGCAACACGGATGGACCTAGAGATTGTCATACTAAGTGAAGTAACTCAGAAGGGCAAATACCATATATCACTTATACGTGGAATCTAAAATACGACACGATGAACTCATCTACGGAACAGGAAGAGACTCACAGAGGACAGATTTGCCGTTGCCAAGGGGGAGGGGGTGGGGGAGGGATGGAGTGGGAGGTTTGGGGTTAGCAGATGCAAACTATTGTATGCAGGATGGAGAAACAAGAAGCTCCTCCTGTAGAGCACAGGGAACTATATTCGACATCCTCTGATAAACCACAATGGAGAAGAATATATTATAAGAGTGAATATCTGTGTATAACTGAATCACTTTGCTGTACAGCAGAAATTAACATAACATTGAAAATCAACTACAATAAAATTTAAGAAAAAGTGTCTGTGATGGCAGCTGGACTTCACTTCTCAGGAGCGGGGTCTGCGGCGGATCTGGTTGACTTTTTGCTCCTCTGTAAGCTGGTTCAGGGCCGAAGAGGCAGAGGAAGGCAGAGGATGGGGGCCGCGCGGGGATGGGGGCGGGGCCGGCTTGCACTGCGCAGCCTCGCGTGGCGGTGTGACGGGGCGGCTGCCAGGGGAGCTGGCGAGAGAGTCTGAGAGAGTCCGGGCTGCAGGATTTGGTGACCTTGGTCCTCAGGATGCAGGTGGCTGCACCCTTCCCCTCCTGCTGGAATGGGGGCTCATACCGGGGTATCCCAGACCCACTCCCAGAATCGTAAGGCTCTGTCCAATCCGGAAGGATGAAGAGGCTCAAGCCAGTGTGCCTGGGGGGGCGTGGGGGGTTAGGGCTTTTGGTCTTCAGGCCTTTGGGTTCATCTCATGAGAGTAATGAGGTCTAACACGGGCTTGGGGTTCGGACAAACCTGAACCCAAGTCCCGGTGCCACCACCTCCTGGGGGACCGTGGGCACCTTCCCAGCAGCATCTGTGGGACAGAAACCAGATGAGGTGACCACTCGTGCTTGTACCTCTTCGCAGGGGCCCCGTACCTCTGCTTCTTGTTTTCACCGTCTGGGGCTCCTCACCTGGCGGGGATGGGCTTCTGGGATCCCCGAACGCTTGACATTGTTTGCAGAATCACCTGTGCCTTCCTCTGACGAGAGGGTCTATGGCTTTACTAGAATATTCGAAAGAAAAAGCTAAAACGCAAGCCCTGCCTCCTCCGGGCCCTCCGGTCTCAGCAGGGGGCTGGTGAGACACAGCTGCCCCCACCAAGATCCGCCCCCAGCCCCCCGTCCACGCCCCGGGGGGGCCTGGCTGCGATGGAGCCTCACCTCTCTGGTCCTCTTCCACCTTCCCTCTCAAAACCCCAGCTGTAAATCGGGCTCACCAACCTCATCTTCATTTCCTAGGCGCTCCGGCCTCATTTTCCTGATTAATTGCTGACCAGCTCGTCAGAGGGGCAACACGGACCACGGGGCTGAGTCCACTCTGGGCTGCGCTTGTTGGAGCTTTTACAGCTCCGTCCTCGCTCCCTGGGTGAGTTAGCTCCTGGCGTGGAAATTCCAGCCCTGCCCCTCTTCCTGCTGCAACATCTGGGCGCGCGTCCGGCTTCTCCTGCCCTGGCACAGAACCTAGAAGTGGGGGGCAAGGCACTGGCAGGCTGCTGGAGTCGGAAACTGAGACTTTTCAGCCGGAGCCTCACTTTGGCCCCAGTGCGTCTTTAAACTTTTCTTTTATCAAGTCTGACCCTACACGGTACCTGGGAAATCTGTGCGGACCCTCACGGAGGGGGACGGTTCACGTGGAGATGTGGGGTTTGGGGAAAAGGATCCCGTCTTCTTCTCCCCCAACCTCAGGGACCGTAATCGTATTGTCAAAAGGAAGGAAATTGGAAATCACCCCAAAGAAAATAGTCCAGTATATCTGAATAATCAAGTAAGACTGGGTTTTTTGCGGTTGTTGGTTTGTTTGTTTTCTTTCGTGAAAAAAAAAAAAAAGTTCCTCTTTTTTTACCTTTTTTTTTTTTTTTTTGCGGTACACGGGCCTCTCACTGTTGTGGCCTCTCCCGCTGCGGAGCACAGGCTCCGGACACACAGGCTCAGCGGCCATGGCTCACAAGCCCAGCCGCTCCGCAGCACGTGAGATCTTCCCGGACCGGGGCACGAACCCACGTCCCCTGCATCGGCAGGCGGACTCTTGACCACTGCGCCACCAGGGAAGCCCGGAAGGTCCTTTTTAGGGCTTTGGCCACATCCTGTCTGTGAACCCTTGACTGTGACTCCCCAGTGACTGGCTCACGGGCGACACTCAAGCCGGGTTTGTGGCTTCAATTTCCCTCTCAAGCCTGGATAGTCGAGGCTCGCCTTAATCTGAGCCCAGCCCGTCTCTCTGCCGTGATTTCCACTTGCGAGCTGGGTAGTCGTGAGCAATGAATTTCCCTCTACTTGGCTTTGCCTCTTTGTAAAACGAGAGTCACGA